AGGGGGGGGGGGGGTCCTCTAGGCGTCGGGTCCAGGGTCGAAGAGCTGGTGTGGTCGGCGAAACTCCCAAAGCCAGATTATTTTTTTTGCTTTATGGGTCTAAATAATACTATAAAAGCAGATATGTAACATCCGAGACTGGGTTGGAGGACTTGTTCGGGAAATTTGGAAGGGGGGTGGGGTGTTTGGTTCGCCAGAAAAGAGGGGGTTCTCCCCAACCATAAAACCCTCATGGATATGGGCCTGGAATCTATAACGTTTATTAAATAAATATTTAGTGTCTTGTGTTTCATATCTTGTGTCTAATAATTTAAGCTGGTTTTTATACCTCAATTGACCTTGTATTTTAACCCCTTATCCACTGCAAGACTGAAGTTCTGATTCTTGGTTGGATGGAAGCCAGAATAGATCAAGAACTTGCCTGGGTAGCTTGACGGTCTTTTTTTTTATTGGTTCACAGCAATTCGGGAGACAGACAGGAATTTTTCCCAAGTTAGAGAATGTAAACAGTCTAGCCCACCTACTGGAGTCTGAGAACAGTTTTCCTTTTACCATGAAATTGATGAGGAGCAAAAAAGATGGGTGTTTTTTTTTTTTGGTTGAGCAAGATAAAAGATAACATGTTTCCGTTTGAAGGTCTGCATGGTACAATGACTCAGCGTAGGTTTCACTTTGAATTTGTGACATACGTAATGTTTCTGAATGTCCTTATGTTGTCCTGCCTATAACAAACGTTACATTGCGAATCATGCAATATTGACCAAAATAGATGTCAGAATATAAACACAGCACAATTTATGGCAGCTTCATATACTTTCAGCAAGAATGCAACCATTTCAGGTTTCGAGACTGAACCCGTATTGTGGATCTGTTATACTCGTGTATTATTTTTTTTCCCTTCCCATATAAAACTATTAGAGGGAGGGGGTGGCAGACATTTCATAATGCAGACTTTTTGTAACTCGTCGTCGTTAACAATTGGCAACCAAGAAATTGCAAGTTTACAAAGTGTGTGGGGCAGGGTTACGAAAAGCTTGGATCTGGGATGAGTTATGAAAAGTTTAGGTTACAAAAGGTTGACGCTAGCTGCTTCCCAAATAAGGTGGTTCTTAGCTGCAGTATTTATGTTCTTGCAACCCCTTCTGGAGGGGAGTGGTGCTGAATTACTGTACCCTATAGTGGGTAGACTATATTTCCACATCGGCCAAATGCTCATACTAAATTATTTTCCAGTTCAGTGTAAAGTAGACCTACCATACATTTCATAGAGGCCTATGAGAAAGATGAAGCCAAAATATTATATTTAATGCTTGCGGTACACCACGTGGGTAGTTCTGAAAAAAAACTGTTGTTCAGTTCTTTGTTGATCAGTTCTTTTCAGAACTGTCTACATGGTGTACGGCAAGAATTTAATATATATTATTACTTCACCATGCAAAAAAAAAATATATAACTGAAATAAAATATAAATAATAAAAATTAAAAATATTTAAAAACTGCTAAATTAAAAAACTAATAAAATATTGCTTAAATGTTTGCATGGCGAAGAAATAATATATATGTTGAAGCTATATGTCAAAGTGTTTCATAGCGCACCCTACAAACTATCTCGAACTCTACAAACACACAAGGACAAACCACCAGCACAAAGCCAACCAGGAGTTTATCGGATCCCGTGCGAATGTGGGAAGGTTTACATTGGTGAAACAGGACGAGATCTCCGCACTAGGCTCAAGGAACACCAAGGCCGTGCCAGGAGAGGGGAACAAGAAAAATCTTCTATAGTCATGCATTCCCAGTCAACAACACCGTGTACATTGGGACAAATCCGAACTACTGTAATAGCCACTGTACCATCTTGGCACTCCAGAAGGACTAGAGAAGCCACCAAAATTCACAAACACAATACTGTACATCAAGACATCGGATTTGTCATTAGCGATATTTGGCTGTCCATGTTTAATCGGACCTAGCGAAGCCCCACCATTTCCCGCCTTCTGGAACTA